ACAGAGCTGAGCTCGCGTCGTTATTGGACATGGACTAGATGTCGTCATGTGAGACATATGACACCAGCCACAATGGCGGGGTAGCCTCGAGACTGGAGACAAGTGTGGCTGGCCATGCCTTATGTCAGCAATCCCATGTCATCCGGCACATCCCATCGAGGACATGCCATTCATGCCCCTTCCCCTTCACGTGCTTCCTTCCTCTCTCCAGGACCAGTCTTCGGATCTGTTGGCATCTCCAAGAGGTCATTCCAACCATTTCGAATCCATCTTCCATCTTCCCCCTCGGCAATCTGATGACTTGATGAACTATATTTGCTGATTATTCATCGTGGCGCGAGGTCAGTCAAGCTGCGCGGGGCTGCATACTTAGTAGCACACCTAGGGTGTTTCCCCTCCACTGCCGAACCGAGGTCTGAACCAGGCAACCAGGGTCTCACGGGCGACGATCCTCTTCAACTCTCGCCTTGCTGCTGTTCATCTGCTCGACACCAACCATCACTGTTGGAAATTCGTTGCAGCGTACAAGTCGCAGAGCATTTTCTCTTGCTCGCAGCCATCACAAGTCTCGGCCCATTTCAGCGTCTTGACAACCTTGACGACGAGAACAGTGCCGTCCATCCCTGCCAACACCACCTGCCAACACCACCCTCAAACACCACCCTCAAACACCACCCTCAAACACCACCCTACAGACAGCACCATGGCCGACGCCCTCTTCACTGTGCCCATCCCCGCCCTCGGTGACCACGTCGGAGGCTCCATCGTCTGCACGTCTCCTGCGCCCCTCGTATATCTCCTCACCTGGTCCTCGCCTCCGGACAACCGCCTGACGACGCCCTTCTGCCGCGCCTTCCTCACGGCCCTCGACATCATCGAGTTTTCTCACCCTGTCGGTGTCGTCGTCACGACCTCTGCCATTACCAAGTTCTACTCCAACGGCCTCGATCTCGATCATGCCTTCACCACGCCCGGCTTCTGGACTGACTCGCTCTACAAGCTCTACCACCGCTTGCTCACCTACCCCATGCCCACCGTGTCTCTCATCCCCGGCCACGCCTTTGCCGGCGGTTTCATGACGGCCATGCACCACGACTACCGCGTCATGAACCCCAGCAAGGGCTTCCTCTGCATGAACGAGCTCGAGTTTGGCGCCCCTCTGAAGCCCGCCATGTCCTCCATCTTCCGCCTCAAGTGCACGTCGCCGCGCATCTACCAGGAGATTGTTCTCGAAGCCAAGCGCTTCCCGGGCCCTGCCGCCCTCGAGGCCGGTCTCGTGGACGCCCTCGGCGGCCTCGACGAGGCCCTCAAGCTCATCGCCGACCGCAAGCTGACCCAGAGGGGCAAGTCTGGCGTCTACAGCGTGCTCAAGGCCGAGATGTGGAAGGAGAGCGCCTATCTGCTGCACCAGGAGAACTTTGAGACCACCGAGGCCATCTGGAACCGGAGGAGAGCTCGAAGCCGAGAGATCGCGCGGGAAGAGTTTGCTGCCGAGCGCAAGGCAGGCAAGGCCAAAGCTGTAACAAAGCTGTAACCCGTCGGAGATGTACGACAAGAAATCCCCAATGTAATCATCCAGGACCAATGAGTTAAACAATGCGCCGTACTTAAGCATGCAGAGGACCCCAAGGCTCATGAATCGCACCATTCTACTATTGTTGCTTTCTTTTTTCTTCTCCTTTTCCGATGCTGTCAGTCTAGCTAATGTCGACGACCATGCGCCCACCCGAGATCTCGCCTTTTCGCATCCGATCGAGGCCTCTGTTCACGCCGTCAAAGCCCTGCTCCGCTGCGAGCACCTCGGGCGGCTTCACTAATCCGCTCTCCAGCAGCCTCTCGAGCCACAGCACGAGCGCCTCGCCGACAGCCGGCACCTCGTGGAAGATCTTGATGGGAACGGTATGGTACGCGACACCCTCGGGCGCCTGGCCCTTCGGCAAGCCCGTCAAGCCGACGAGATGGGCCGACTGACTCCTCTGCCTCCGCGGCGTATCGGGAGGGCTCGGCGGCGGTGTCGTCGTTGTCGTCTTTTCCTCCCCGACCTTGACGCCCTCCAGCTCATCGTCCCGTGTCAGCGCGTCCAGCAGCGACTTGGCCGAATCGCGACCCGTCGTGTCGAGTGCGAACCGGAGCTTCTTGCCGACGTTGGCGCGGATGATCTCGACGGCCCGCGCTGGCGAGTGGCTGTCGACGAGGAGGTCTGGGCGGAGGATCTCGTGGTCCGCCAGGCGCAGGCCGTGCTTGGCCTTGTCGACGATGGTCACGACGCGAAGGCCCGCCAGACGGGCGAGCTGGACGGCGAGATTGGCTGATGTCGACGAGCCTGGAGTCCGTGTCAGCATGTTGTTTCAACCAGTTGTTTTCCCCACAAAGACTCACCTCCCCAGAATGGCCAGCCAGTCGCCCGGCACTGCCCGCTCCCGGTCCTGGATGCCCGAAAGACATTCCTGCCTGACATCTTGCGGCAGCAGGTCCGGCTCGACCGACCGTACAACCTGCAGCAGGTCGGGCCCGTCGAGGATGCTGGAAAAGTCGACACCCATGCACACGCCAAGCGACAGGACGGCCGCCACGTAGGCCACGCCGATCGTGGCACCCGGCTGTCTCGGGACGTTCGGCGGGATGCGAACCGTGTTGAAGTCTGAAGACACGACGTATTCCTGAAAGCCGGCCTTGCGCAGGTCTCGGTAGTCGGTGGAGATGACGAGCACCTGGTCGCCTTCACGTAACCTCGAGCCAGGCTTGGAAGGCTTGACAACGCGGCCGACGAGCTCCCTGCCAGCGATGTACGGCAGCACTGGAATTCCAAAATTGAAGTCGCTGGGGCTCCTAGTCAGCGACGGCACTGCAGTCAGGGCCTCTTTTTCTTGAAAGGGGCTTACGGTGCCTTCCAGTCGATGGGGTTCAAGCCGAACGTCTCGGCCCTCACGAGAACTTCATTCTCGCTCTGAACCTCTGGTATCGCATAGCCGGTCGTGACTTCGTACGGCTTCTTCGGCCCGTGCAACAACAGGACCGTCTGGCTGCTGGGAAGATCAATATTTGACATGGTGGTGATGGGATATGCCGAATGATATGGTACGGGATGCAAACACTACCATGAGATACACCCTTTCCCGCCAGTTATACATTTCAAAAGTCGCATTTGGGGGGGGGAAAGGGTGGGGGGGGGTTCGTCCGCGACCCTATCACCGACATCTATCCAACCTCTTCTTTGGGGAGAGGGGGCCGCAGTCGGAGCCATGTCGATCGGAGGGGCAATAGGGCGACACACAGGTGAGGCATTGCGTGCTCCCCAAGTCCCGCACCAGACAGATTGCGTGATAGATTACCACCATGGCGCTGTTGTCCTTCGGCATTTCACCCGCCCTCGAAATGATTCGAGGCCGAACTTCGACTCAACCAATCCTGAATCAGGCAATGAGCGTGGGATGGCTTACCAACAAACGGCAATACGGGCAGGATGGTCCAGGGTTCCCCGGTTGTCGCCATGCCACCATGTACGATGACCACTTCCACCCCACGTGTCTGCCAACAAACGACAGGGTTCTGCATGAACAAGTCGCCTGCTTGCTGTCGCGCGGGGGCCTCATAGATGAACTAGGTAGAACGGGGATTGTTTTTATTCAGGCGCTTTAGTTTCGTCATCGCCTGTAGGCCTCCCTCAAGCGTTTAGCCGCTGGCCTCGATTCCGAAATCGTCGCTACGCCTCCGACATCCAGAACAGCCTGGCTGTCGGCACGCGCGCGACGCGATCCCTAGGCGGGCGGCCCGTCCTCCTCGAACACGTCGTACTTGTACCGCGACCCAGGGTGGTCATCCCTGAGCCCCTTCTGGCCCCTACCGTACACCCGCTCGCGCGCCGTCAGCTGCTCGTCCGCGGCCGGCGCCTCGGGGTAGAGCCCCCTGCGGCGGAGCTCCGGCACCAACAGATCGACAACGTCCTCAAACGTCCCCGGCGTTGTGACATAGCCAATGTTGAACCCGTCGAGGTCGCCCTCCCGAATCCAGTGCTCCATCTCATCGGCCACTTTCTTCGGGCTTCCGACCGAGACGGGGCCGAGACCACCGATGGCGGCCCTCTCTGCGATGACGCGAGGCGTCCACTTGGGCACATGCTCGCTTGTCGTCGTGAAGGCGTCCAGGATACTGCGCACCTTGTGGGCCTCGAGCGAGTCGGCCGCCGTCACCTCTTGGTCGAGTGGAATCTTGGACAGGTCGATGCCCGTCCAGCCGCTGACGAGCACGAGACCGCCAACGGTGGATGCGTACTTCTTGAGCTCGGCCAGCTTTTCTTGGGCCTCCTCGTCCGTGCGGCCCACGATCGGCGTGAACGTTGCAAAGAACTTGACAGACTGCGGGTCGCGGCCGAGGCTGGCTGCCTGTCGTCGGATCTCCTGCACCTTGGGCTTCAGAAGCGCCGGCGAGTGCGAGGACACAAAGATGCCCTCGGCGTGCGAGGCCGCAAAATTGGACCCTGCCGAAGATGTGCCCGCTTGGAAGAGAAAAGGCGTCCTCTGCGGTGAAGGGTCCACGATGTGCCTCGTGTCGAGGTGGAAGAACTTGCCATGATGGTGAATCGTCCGGATCTTGTCGGGATCGGCGTAGCTGTCGTTTTCGGCATCTGGGTTAATCGCATCGTCCGCCCACGAACCCTCCCAGAGCCTGGTTTTTGTGTTAGTCTGAAGATCAGACGAGTGCCGTGCTGGGCCACCGCTCACTTGTATAAGACGCGCAGATATTCATCTGCCTGCTCGTACCGCTCGTCATGGGGAGTTGGGCTGTCGATGCCAATGGCTTTGAAGGCGCTCTTCTTCCAGCTGGTCACAATGTTCCACCCAATTCGGCCGCGTGTGAAGTGATCGAGACTCGAAAACCTCTTTGCAAGGAGAAAAGGTGGTTCGAACGAAGTCGACGCTGTTATGGCAAAAGAGAGATTCTTCGTAACAGCAGCCATGGCGCTAATTGGCTAGACATTTTGTTAGATTGACTTATCCTGAAAGTAAGAATTTGAGAGCTGCGCTGAGCGTACGATGGTCGGGTCTGTCATGGGCCATTGTGCGGCGCGGCGAATACAGTTATCCAGACTGCCTTCATATGTGTCATACCTACGATTCGCTTGTTAGTTGACTCTTTTCGCAGTTCTGGGTCAGGATAGTTTCACCCTCCGTAGGTATCCGCCAGGAAGAGAGCATTGATGCCGCCACGCTCCAGCAGCTTTGCCAGATCTATCCAGTATTGCAAGTCTCGCTTGCTCGCGGATTTGTCGATGGGATTCTGGAGAAACTTGAGCTCACAATTCAATCACCGTTCAGAGTGCGAGCCAACCTTCCACTGACCGGGCGAGAGATGGCCCACGGTCGACATGTCAAACGCGTTGAGCAGAATATGCTTCTTGGCTTCGCTCGACCCGTCCACAGGGCTCGAGGTGCCATTTCCATGAATGGGTAGAGACGTCATTTTGCGACTGTTGCTTTCGGATCAAGGACGCGGACGTGCAGGTTCACGTCGAGACATGTGTGCAAGGTAAGCCTTTTCTTCAAGTACGTTATGATGCATTGCATCTTTTTTTTTTCTTTGGACCGCCAGCGGACTTGTCAAAAACCGCTTGTGCTAGATGACGCCTTCCGCTCAATAGCCTCACCATTCGAGCGTATCGTCGCGCGAACGCATCGTGACCCAACTGTTGCCCGCTTTACCGTGGGGAGCCGACGCGGGATGAAGAGCGCCTGAATCCCCAATCCTCGCGTGGCACGCTCGCGCCATTGCGGGTACGGATGGTGCCATTGGCCCCAAGAGGGCGCGGCCTCTGTCGGCTTCAACGGCGCGACCGTCAGGGCGGGACGCTGCGGCGTGATGGAGCTTGCTCTGTCATTGTTCTATTCGGCAGGCCTGTCCAGTGAGGTCGTGTGCTATTCCTTGGTTCACGTCCTTGTCATGCGGAGAGTGACGTTATGCCCGCGGGATGGAGTTTCGTCATGAATGTTGATTGATGGCTTGCGGACGGAGGCTACTATTTGACAGGTCACTCTGCATCCTTGCTTGATCCCTCAATACTGCCTATTCTGGGCTCTAGGACCGTCTACTATTGCCAGCTTAACCCCCACTATCCTTCGTGTCTCGGCCTCCGGGGCTCACTCGCTGGAATCCCTTTTACCCGACACACTCACCGGCGTGCTTTTGTTGCTTTTGTTGGCAGCGGTTTCCTGGACTGGGGCCGCCTCTTCAGCATATGCCGTGGTGTCTTCAATCTTGGGGCTGTACGGTGTCAGCGAAAACAAGCAACATCAAAAAGGTGGCGGACTTGGGGGCGGACATACTCTCGACGCTTGAGATGCAACCGCAAAGCGTGTGTCGCAATGATAAGAAGGATCGCCGAGCCCAACGTGAACGGAAAACCCTTGGGATACCTAGGCGCCTCGACGGTCGGGAATACGAGCAAAGGCGTCCACGCCGTGGACGACTGTGAAATGGCGTTGATGAGCACGAGGGTAAAGGACCGCTGCGCAGGTGACGAACGCAGCTGTGTATTGACCCAACCGTGGAAGACACTCGACATGGAGTAGGAGGCGTAAATGGTCGAGAAGGCAAACCACTTTGCAGACTCGGGAACATCCCAAATAACGAGAATAATGAGGCCGAGAATGTTCCACACGTGGGCCATGGTAATGGCCCATGCAGGACCGAGGACCAGATCCGATGCAAAGCATATAAATAGGGTATAAAAAATACCCAAACCGGGTGCGATAGTACCAAGCTCGTTGACTCGCGCCGCAGAGTATCGACCCAAGCTCTTAATCCAGAGCAGGAAGGATCCAGAGCTTGTGTGGATTCCGGCATTCCAAAAGAGCACGTCGATAAGGATAATTGCCCAGAATTGCGGCTTCAGGAAAATCTTCTTGAGATCCTGAAGCTTGAGCTTGCCGTGAGATGCATGCCAGCACGCTGAAGACGACTCTCGCCAATCTTGATGTCCTGTTCCGTCAATACGCGACGGTTCGGCTGATCGGGCGTGCCGGGTATGACAAAGTATCCGAGGATGCCAACGGGAATGGTGATGATGGCGCAGATAATGTACATCCAGCGCCATCCTTCCAAGCCGTTGACACCGTCGAGCCGCGCTGAGGCGCCGGCTTGGATGAGACCTGCTGTCAAGGTTCCGAGCGACAGACCAGTGTAGAAGATGCCACCACGACGCGCAATCTCGTCGCCGCGGTACCATGCGCCGAGTACGTAATGGATCAAGGGGAAGAATGCTGCTTCAAAAAAGCCCACAAGAAACCGGTACGCAGCAAGTTCGGGGAAACCTTGGACGCGATATTGCAGCAGCGTGAAAATGCCCCAGCTTATGTCGAGGAAGGGGATCAACCAGTGCATCGGGATATAGGTGACCAGGAAAAAGAATGGAATCTGTCCTGTGACGGCGCCAATAATGTAAAAGGTTTGCAATTGCACGAGCTCATTGCCGTGGAAGCCGAGGTCTTCCTTCAGGCCTGCCACATAGGCATTGTCTGTCTTCAGAGTCAGCATGCAATGCATATGAGTGGCGTACGAGCCTCTATTTACTCAGGTTGGACTATAGAAATGTTAGCCAGTAAGACACTAAGAGTATGTTTACTTTAATGGCAGGAATCAACACATACCTGGTCAATGTACTTGACCCAGTAAGCCAGAACAGCATAAGGGACGATGAGGGCATCGATTTTACGAATGAACTTGCGCTCTTCCTTGGTGTCCGTGTCCGAGTACCACCTGATATGGTACCACTTCTTGGCTGGAGAGCTGGCCATGATGTCCAGATGTCAAGATGTTCAAACTCTTGCTGCCAAAGAAAGTTATTCCGTGAAGAGGTCTAGATCCCGAGAAAGCTTCACCAACTGCACAGCAATTCGAGAACACGGCGCCGCCTTCTTATGATACCCTCAAACCCACGTGCGAAACAAGCATGTCACCACGCGACATCACTTCAGTCCGACCCAACTAGCTTGTTCGCCATGCATCGAGGCGTCCTTGCGTCAACGACAAGCCAGGGTGGCAATCTTGAAGACATCAATTCAGCCAGTGGAAAGTTCATGGTGATCTTTCCAAGCACCCGCCAGCCTCCTAGTACGGCGGTGTTGCCCAGCGGTCGGGTCATGGCACCATCGAAGCAGAATTGATGTAACCTTTCGAGGGGAGACAAGAGTCGGGAGCTGCCCGACATGAGAGCTGCAACGAAACTGACACGGCCCAATAACCGAGGGATCAGTTGAACAACGCACACTGGCCGCAGCCACCATGCAGGCAAGGTTCAGTGCAAATACGACTTGGTGAGCACCAACCTCCCAATGTAATTGCCAAGATGCCGAAAGTGATCCGTCGGAGATTATGGCGTGCGCTGTGTTGAGGTCTGTGGTGCGCCGAACCGGAGTCTGAGTGATGCACAAGATGTGGGGGGGATGGCGTGCTCGGAGGTCACATAGGTGAGACGACGCGGCGCCGCGGCGGCGGCGAGTCGAACGGCAATGCTACCGATGGCGAGCTTGAATGGGTCGATCTACAAGGTCCATGGGGATCGGCATGGTAAAAGGGTGGTGTTTCGCGGGGTATGGGCTTATTATCTAGTGACCCAGATGCTATACTCGTTGACCTTGGACTTTTTCATCAAGACCAAGTACAAATCTCTCTTGGTCACCACGGAGAGAAACATCATTGGAACACCATGGGAGACTATCACGCTTCATCAGACAGTGGTGTCGAGGGTGTCGGTCCCGATGAAAAACCGCAGCCCGTGGCCACGCATGTGAAGCCGGGCCAACGCTTGTCAGCCACGTCGGTTGAAGAGACGAAACGAAAGATTGATGCCATCGCCGAGTCGCTCTTCCAGCCACCAAACTACAGCAACCCAGGCCAGAAGCTTATAGATCGCTACATTGACGAGCCTCGAGAGCTTCGCGTGGCTGTCATTGGCGCTGGACTGAGTGGCACACTTTCTGGAATTCTACTACCAGCAAAGGTACCGGGTATCAAGCTCACCATCTTTGAGAAGAACGCCGATGTGGTGAGTTTCCGCTCGAAAGAAGACAATTGACTTTGGCTAACCTGCGCCAGGGCGGAACTTGGTTCGAGAATATATACCCTGGTGTGCGATGCGATGTTCCTGCACACGTGTACCAGGCGACTTTTGACCCCAATACGCAATGGTCGGAACAGTTCGCTCAGGGAGCCGAGATTCGTGACTATTGGCAGGGGCTCGCAAAGAAATACGACCTATACAAGTTTCTACAGCTGTCTCAGCGCGTTGAGGGTCTGAACTGGGACGATGTGAAGTCCGAGTGGCAGATCAGTGTCCGGGACCTCAAGACAGACGTACTACGGACCGAGACAGCCGATTTCGTGCTCACAGCAATCGGTCGTTTCAACGCCTGGAAGCTGCCTGACTATCCTGGCATCGAAGACTTCAAAGGAACCCTCCGACACGCCTCGAACTGGGACCCTGAATTTGATCCACGCGGGAAGAACATCGCCGTCGTTGGCAACGGCGCCAGCGGCATCCAGCTCACCTCGCATCTTCAGCGCGTGGCCGGGCGGCTTGACCATTATGCCCGAAACAAGACCTGGGTGACCGCCTCTTTTGCTGGTCATGACACTTCACTCGACCCGCTTCCAATCTCACAAGAGCAGCGTGATGCCTTTAAGCAAGACCCAGACGCGTACCTGAAATACCGAAAGGAGCAAGAGAGCCAATATTACCGTGGATTCAACGGCTATCTCAAGGGCCACGAGACGGTCGAGTCTCAGCGCGAGTCCTTCAAGAAGGCCATGAACGACCGTCTGGCCAAGCGCCCTGATCTCGTCGATGCCCTCATCCCTGATTTTTCTCCACACTGCCGTCGCTTGACACCAGGACCCGGCTACCTCGAGGCTATCACGGCAGACAATGTTGACTATATCCGTACCAAGATCAAGCGGGTCACTCCAACGGGCATTGAGACGGAAGATGGACGCCACCGTGAGGTCGACGCTATCTTCTGCGCTACCGGTGCCAACGTCGACATGGTGCCCCCTTTTCCCATTGTTGCCCGCGGCGAGGATCTCTCTCAAACCTGGCGCGAGGGTGGGAAATACGGGTTTCCATACACATATCTCGGTGCTGCGGCACCCGACTTTCCCAACCTTCTCTTTGTCCATGGACCAGGTGGTTCAGGACGATCAGGAACGGTGCCGCACAATGTGGAGAATCAGGTTGTCTTTTACGCGCGAATCCTGCGCAAGGCAGCAAGGGAGGGCATTCGCACGATTCAACCGAAGAAAAGAGCAGCTGAACAGTACACCCAGTGGTCAGACGCCTTCTTTGCAACAACGGTGCTCTCGGAAGGGTGCAGCTCCTGGTATAATGGCGGCAAGCCGGGGGCCAGGATTCACGGTCTCTGGCCAGGCAGCGCATCGCTTGTGACCATGGTTCAGCGAGAGCCAAGGTGGGAGGACTGGGAGTACGAGTACGTAGAAGAGAGCGGAGGCAACCCGTTTCTGTGGTACTTCGGAAAGGGCTGCACCAAGAAGGAATTGACGGAGGGCACCGATATGACAGACTATTTAGTACGAGCGGACAAGGTTGACCTGAGAGATGTTCACGAAGGATGGTACTCAGTGCCGTAGGCTCTGCTGGTCATCTTGAAGAATAAATCGTAACGTTCAAACCTCCGTGCCTTCATCCCAAAGTTGATGCCTCGCCAACTCGATGCATGCGTCTGCTGCCACGCGACCCCTGCCTGTTCTTAAGTGCGGTACCGGACTCCTGGGATATATACGTGAAACCCTCAAGCAAACTATTACTTTTAGCACAATGCCATCATCACACCCGTCATGTTGAGTCACCGGAACTCTCCGATCTCAGCTCATGCCATGCGACATATCGAACCCCAGTCTAAATGTCTCAACCGCTTGAGCTTCTCCGATATGCAGACCTTCCTAGCATCAAGAGCTTCAGATTCCCTAATCGGCAGGTTTCCCATCGGTAGGACCCTGCAGAAAATACATCACATCTCGTTGTGGAGACCACTCTGTTGCAGGGGTAGGCGTTAGCTGCGGTCTGGACAGGGTGGTCGGCCATTACGTGCTGGTCCGGCGAATGTCGCAACCTCCCCGGTCTTGGCTGCTCAACCTACCCTGGAACATGGCGGAACCGTAACCGGAGCTGTCTCCGAACAGACGGGTCAACTGCCGCGGATGCCCAACACGTGGGAGTTATGGCCCGGGCGACCCTGATCTTTGTTGTCAAGCTCTGACAGCCTCCTAAATGCCCTGACATAAAGTCCAGGCGTCAAGACCGATTTCTTCCATGTTGCCGATCACTGAGTCTTCCATATTTTCTCAAATTTATTCGCAAGATGTCCGACTCTCAGGAACTCCGTCAAGATCAGGTTGCTCCTCCCAAGGAGCAGCAGCACCCAGGTAGGCTGGGCAGATACACCTCAGACAAAGCAGTCGTTCTAATCGTACATTGCAGTGAGATGGCACCGCTCGACCTTTTACAACATGACCATCCTGGGTCTCTGCAACTTCGCCGCGCCCGGCATCTGGGGAGCCATGAACTCCCTGGGTGCAGGCGGCGCTGCGTCTCCTAAGCTCGTTAACGCCGCCAATGCGCTGACGTTCTGTCTCATGGTTGTCTCGTGCTATTTCTCGAGCGTGATTGTCCACTACATTGGTATCAAGGGTGCTCTCATCTTCGGAACGTAAGACTGCGCACACTTCCTCGCCTGTTGATTAACTCGCTTACACTGTCAGCGTTGGCTATGCGCCGTTTGCTGCCGGCCTCTACACCAACAACCGTTACGGCACTGAGTGGCTCATGCTTGTCGGCGCTGCTGTCTGCGGTATCTCGGCTGGTGTCTTCTGGATGGCGGAGGCTGCGATCGCCATTGCCTACCCTGAGCCGTGGAACCGAGGCAAGGCCCTCGGCTACTGGCTGACCTACCGTCTCGGCGGACAAATCCTTGGTGGTGCGATCAACCTGGGTCTCAATGCTGACCGAGACCAAGCCGGCAGTGTCTCGTACACCGTTTTCATCATCTTCATTGCCATCCAGGCGGCTGGTCCATTTGTCGGCTTCTTCCTGAACAAGCCAAGCAAGGTCGAGCGCAGGGATGGCAAGAAGGTGAACTTGTCCATCGTCGAGAACCCGTGGTACGAGATCAAGGCTACGACAAAGAATTTCATGAAGCCTAAGTTTCTTCTCCTCCTCCTATGGATTGGACAGGCTGTCTTCGCCGAGGCCGTGTACTTCACATATATCGCTCGTGAGTCTTCTTGGATGTCAAGATTGCGCATCATAGCATCTAATATGACGCAGTGTGGTTCTCTGTTCGTGCGCGCGCGCTGGGCTCTTTCCTGTCTGGTATCGTGGCCGTTATCTCCGGCAACCTTCTGGGTGTAAGTAAGGCCTGTATACTCTGGATCAAACCAAGCTGACGGATGCAGCACTGGCTCGACCGCACCAAGATCCCTCTCAAGACGCGCTCCCGCGGCGCATTCTGGTTCATTGTCATTACTCAAGGTGCCTGGTGGACGTGGGCTACGGTCATGGCCACCAGATTTCGCGAAAGTCGTCCTACCTACGATTGGAGCAGCCCCGGCTTTGGCGCTGCCTTTGGCGTCTACATCTTCCTGACGATTGGATTTCAAATCAACTACCTGTTCCTGTAAGTACCAATCTCGTACAGATCTCGGCAATCTCGCTAACAGATCAGCTACTTCTTCGTTACGAACCTGGCCGAAACCGAGGACCAGGTCATTCGCTACGCCGCTCTGCTCCGTGGTACCGAGTCCGCGTGGCAGGCTGTCAGCTACGGCCTGACCTCCATTCCCGTCTTTGGCGAGATTGGTGGTATTTACATGAACTTCAGCTTGTGGGCTCTTGCTATCGGTCCAGCCTGGCTTGTTCTCAAGCACTTTGGTAACGGAGCCGAAAAGGGGATCCACCATGAGGCACAGATCACTCAGGCAGGCGACGGCGCGGTGTCGAGCGAGACGCAGAGCGAGGACGGCGAGGGCAAGAAAACTTTCGCTGGCACGGAGAGCAAGACTGGACTGAATTGATTTGACTACGGACGCCGATCACAGCTGCAGGGTTGTCAAGGGGACTGGGGGTCGGAACCTGAAAGTTGGAGCTGGAGAATCGTCGGCGAACCTGCTTCGCCTCCATGTTAGCTCTACAATAGAGGACCAGTCTATTTTATCCGACCCAATTACACCGATTCTATTACTTTGTATCATGCGATGTGGTATCATTTGCCTGTGTAGCCAGCTTGTGACAGGCTCTTCATTGACGGATGCTCCGAGACGGGCTAGCCCCCTTGTCTCGATATTGATGCTCAACCCCACGCCCCATGCATCTTTCATTCTACGAAGGAGATTCCGGCACTCATGCATCCCTGACCCGGCAGATGCAAGCCGACAGTTATTTTACCGATCCTGCGGGCTGCCTTAAACCCGACACGCGTCTGGACATGTCACCTTTGTGCCTAACATGGCGTCATCTGCATGGTCTGTTTGCCAGTACCCGTGATTGTTTCGTCTGCCCGAAGATCAATAGCTTCGACGCCACGAAAGACGTCAACGCACATGGGACCCCCACAGGTTTGTTATCTGGAACGTTACCCCTCGCACTTGAGCTGTTCAACACGAGTCCACGGAGGGCTGACGCGACCCGGAGCTCCGATGGCACCATCGCCCCACTCATGCGGGGCCGGCGCCCGCCGGCCGATGATCGGGGCTGCCAGCCATCGGCGTTGTCGGCGCAGCACGCGTTCTGGCGTGGGCTGCTGCATGGAAGCTTTGGAAGATTGAAGCGAGCGTGACGCGCTTTCCCTCGGCTGATTCTAAGGTTCTGTTGATCGTGTTCAAAACGTAAGTCTTCGCAGGTTTATCCCTTAGACACCACACGTTTTGAACTGCCTTGACTGCCGTTCGATTACTGCCAGTGTCAGTCACATCTATAGTTACATGTGTATCCTGTCGCAAGTACTCACGAAGATATAGAGACAACAATCATCATGGGCGACGCCAACAATACCCCGCCCTCCGGGGCCACCCCGAAGAAGAGCCTCATCGTCAACGCCTTTGTCGAGATGTGCAGTGGCCACCAGTCCCCCGGTCTCTGGCGCCATCCTGACGATCAGTCTCACAACTTCAACTCAACGAAGCATTGGGTTGATCTCGCAAAGCTCCTCGAGAAGGCAAAGTTCCACGGCGTCTTCATTGCCGATGTCCTGGGTGGCTATGACGTCTACAACAAGTCGCTCGAGCCAGCCATCACGTCTGGTGCGCAGTGGCCCGTCAATGAGCCATTGGCGGTTGTGTCAGCCATGGCGGCCGCGACGGAGAGCATCGGGTTCGGTGTTACAGTGTCCACGACCTATGAGCAGCCATATCACCTTGCTAGGAGACTCGCAACATTGGATCACCTGACGGGAGGACGGTGAGTCTGCCCTGTTTTCCGCGAGAGTAGAGAAGGTGCTGACAATAGATCCGCAGTCTCGGCTGGAACGTTGGTGTTGTCCTGCCCACAGTTCTGATGAGTCTTCAACTGACATGTGCAGATTGTCACCAGCTACCTCGACTCGGCCGCGAAGAACATGGGTCTCACCGAACAGCCCCAGGTATGCTTCCCTGCTCATAGAACGGCATGAGTCCACTGACTCTCCCAGCACGACGACCGCTACGCCCAAGCGGAAGAGT